AAAAACAAAACTAGTAACATATAAATCTAAAGGTGTTCCAAACAAATAGCAGGACCCAACAGCCTTTCTGAGGAAAACTATATTTCTTTGGGGAACTGGAGACACAGGTCAGTGGTTAAAAGAACATATTCTTACGGAGGACCTGAGCTTGGTTCCCAGCAACCATGTCAGGTAGCTCCCAACTGCCCGAAACTGCATCACCAGAGAATCTGACAGCCTCTTTTGGACCCTGTGAACCTTTGCACTCATATGTGCACATCGAAACAACACACTGGTATGCGCATGTGTATGTGATTTAAAAATAAAATAAATCATAAAGATCAGAGCAACGGAGTGAGACCTCGTGCTCTCCTCTGGAGTGCCTGTCATTCTCCGTAGTCCTTAAAACGGGAATGTGAGAACCTGCGATGTAGCGGGTTAGAACCTATGACTTGCGGCTTGTCCCTTCCTATTTCTAACGGACAGATGTGTCAACCTTGACCTCCAGTTCTTCGGAAGGAAACGGATCTTATCCTTCACACAAGATTGAGTTAAGGTGAGGTCATGTGGGAGGATGGTGGAGCCCAGTGCAGCATGAGTGGTCCTGTAAGAAGAGCGGAAGGGATACGTGCCATGTGAAGATGGACAGGCACAGAGGGAGGATGGTGAGGGGGCACACTAAGGATGGCACACAACCCTACGATCGCAGTGACCTGTCCACAAGCAGAGGAGTTAGAGAGAGCAGCACCAGCACAGCAACCAGGAGACAGACACAGAACCCTCCAGAAACAACAGCCACAGTGGCACCTTCACTTCAGACTCTGGCTGACTGTGTCATGCTACCAGCTCATACTACTGGACATAGCAGCTATAGGCAAGCGTACTCTATTCCAAGAAGAGAAAAATGCCTACAGAGCTGAGTGGTGGATGTTGATCAGAGAGGGGTTTTTGTTTTACAGATGATTGTGTACGTGTGTGTGTGTGTGTGTGTGTGTGTGTGTGTGTGTATGTGTGTGGTGTGTGTGACCTCATCCACATGTGTGTGGATACCCATGTGTGAACATGCAGTCTTACATGGAGAGCCCAGAGGTGAACAGCCAGCTGTCTTCCTCCCTTGTACTACACCTTACTTTTAAGTAAGGCATGGTATCTCATTGAAAGTGAGCTTGACAGTTCTGTGAGCCTCGCTAGGCAGCTTGTTCTGGAGATCGGGTTTCTACCCGCTTCAGACTGGGCTGATACCCTGGGCACAAATTTACATGGGTGCTGAGGATCCCAGCTCACTTGAAAGGCAAGCACCTGAGCCATCTCCCCAGCCTTCTTAGTTCTTACTATCTCACATTCTACCCTTATTAAATTACAGCAAGTTGCCTCTGAACAGGAGGGGCTGGAGGCTGGAGGCTGGATGCGTTCTGGCTATACTGGGCAGCTGTTAACGTGGGAAACATGGAGGTCCTCTGCAATGCTGGCCTCACCAGAGTGGAGGAGGAGTGGGGATTTTCCTCCCTGGGTGGCTGAGAGTGTTTCTAAGGCCTTCTGTTAACAGGACATCTCTTCTTATTAATCTGGCAATGCCTGATCTCTTATAGAAACTTCCAGGCACTTCCCTTCCCTTTCCCCCTTACCTGATTTTCTCAGGCAGCTAGGATATCCCCTCTCTCTCTCTCTCTCTCTCTCTCTCTCTCTCTCTCTCTCCCTCTCCCTCTCCCTCTCCCTCTCCCTCTCCCTCTCTTTCTCTCTCTCCTTCCCTCCCTCTTTCTCTCCTTCCCTCCCTCTTTCTCTCTCTGTCTCTTCCTCCCTCCCTCCCTTCCTCCCTCCCTCCCTCCCTTCTACTCTCTTCCTCCCTTTCCCTCTCCCCTTCCTTCCCTTCTTCTTTGAAGAGTATGAGCATTAAGTTCCAGAGCTTTGAAACACTCTTGCTCAATTAGCGTGCACCATCTTGCAGTATTCTCCAGATGGCTTCACCCAAAAGCTCATCAGACTGACCTACTGCCTAAAATCAGTGGCAGAGGGCTCCCAAGCCGCAAATCGCTTGTATGTAAGAACAGTTCCACCAGATGGCGCTCCATCGAAGGTTGGGCCGGGGCACATGAACTTCACTCTCGGTACCTGAAAATAATGGCAACCAAATCCCAGAGCCAGTGAAGCTTCTAGAAGGCTGAGTTAGAAGATGTCGTTTGCCCTTCTCGTCTAACCCAGTCGCCAAGGAGGTAGAACTTTCTAGCGCTTCCCTCATTAACAGCCTCATCTGGGATCAAATTCCCTCAACAAACAAGTGAGAATGTTCATCCAAGCTCTTGTAGCTAAGGGACGACATAGGAGGTGGCTGTCCATTGGATCAGCCTGTCACTCTGGCAGGAATGGTGATCATGGGCATCAGAGATGACATCACAGCACCTCATAGGATACTACCCGGCACTGGCCAGACGCAGAGAACACCGTGCTCACTAACATCGTTGGAACACTCAGAAAGCAGCCCGCCCCCAAAAAGGAGGATGGCTTTTTATGTTTTTACACCATGATAGAAAATAAGTGCATTTCCACCTGAAATGCACTTCAAATACTCAAGACAGAAGAATGAATGGAAGCCAGCGTCTCCTGTCAGAATCTCTTTGTAAATGGTTCAACATGGAAGCAAGACAAGCAGCCAGCAAGCTTGGCCCAAGACTGGGGACTGAATAGCAATGAAATGAATGCGGCTCTCCTGGCTGCTGAGTCTGTGTATGTTAAAGCAGACTTCCTGTCACACCATCGACGAAAAAGTTTGCTTTTCTCCATGACAAAGTTTCTTTGGACACTGGTTTGGTGAGCATCCTTTGTCATAAATTGAAAAAAAAAATAGTTCTTTTTTCACTGTTCAGGATTGAAGCTTACAAACAAAATATAAAATTTCTAAGCAAAGAAAAAAACACATAATGGGTCTAAAATCAATAACCCTTCCCCCTCTTCTTGCTGGCATTCAAAAAGGTTTGTGGGATCTTAGAGACACTGCCATAATTATAAAGCATTCTGTTTAAAATCAAAGCAAAATGCTGGCTTATGAATGATGGAGAAGGGATACAGGCTCTGTGCTGTTTCTCAATGTACCTGCTAAGTGATCACAGATAGGGTTTAAAAAAGACAGTCCCACAGGGCTGCATCCTCAAACTCATAGAGCCCTTCAGTCCTTCGAAGACAGCTTCCATCTCTGAGCTTTCCCGAGAACACTGTGAAACAGGACAGTCTGACCTCAGGGGCCTCAGTTTCCCTAACTGTGTCCTATTCTCATCTTTGCCATTGAAATTGCAGGCCCTCATCTTCCTCTGTTTGTTGCCTTTATCAAAACTTGATCTCAGGACAGGAGAGATGGCTCAGAGGTTAAGAGCACTGGCAGCTCTTCCAGGGTCCTAGTTCAAATCCCAGCAACCTCATGACTACCTATAATGCGATCTGGTGCCTTCTTCTGACCTGCAGGTATGCACACATGCAGGCAGAACACTGTATACATAATAAATAAATAATTTTTTAAAAATAACTTTCTCTGGGGGGGGGAATTAGCATCAACTTTAAGAGAATGGAAATTCAATGCGGCAGTCTCTTGCTTTCCCTCCTTTTATACTTCCTCAAGTGTCTTCTTTGTTTGTTCATCACCAAGAAGGTCGTGAAAGCCTCCTGGGGTGCAGGTATCTTCAGCTGCCCCTGAACTCACTTCAAAAGACAAAGCTGCTTTTTTCTCAGGACTGTATTCCAAAGCTCAGCTCAGGGAATCCCATCCCTAGGGGACTACATCACAGGTGTCCTGTGAGTGATCCACTCAACTCACAAATATCACCCTGGTTAGAAACCTTCAAAGCCACACCTCCAGGAGGACAGTTAGGGATCACCGTTTTCTGCTTTATGTCTCTTGAAGCCCAGAGTTTTGGCATGAAGACATTCTGTTTGTTTTCTTGACAATGTGGTCATGAGAGTCCTGGCGGAGAGCAACTCTCCAGGATTGTGTATGCCATGATCAGCAGTAGATGCTCACACACAGACTCAGCATTCTACATCACCATGATAAGCCATGCTCGATGGGGATATGCTGGGACTCCTGTCACCTAACTCAGAGAGTCAGCCTGGTGATAGTCCCTTTCAGTCCAGGGTTGGAACTTGGTAATCTGCCTGTGTTCTTGCTTCCTGCCGGGAGAAAAATTCAATAACTTCTAGAAGATAATAAAACCTATTGCTCCATTCAGAACACTCACCGTGATGCTTTCTGCTTAAAATTGCAAGGGCTGCCAGATGACAGAACCAAATGACTGAGGATGGAGAGGAAAAGGCAGACAAAAATAAAAAATGCACAGATGACCCCCAATATTGGAGTGGTCAGGTCAGGCATGAACATGAAAATAGATTTTCAAACAGACATTTACACCAGAAAACTATAGTCTATGGTTTTTAAAACACCAAGTATAAAGTTAGAACTTAAAAAAAAAAAAACAACTAAAAATAAGAACTTTGGAGCAAACAAGATCAGATAAAGGAGCATTTCACGACCTGTCTTTAATCCCTGGAACCCATGTAAAGGTGAAAGGACAGAATGGCTTCCATAAAGCTGCCCTTTGACCTCCACAAGCATGCTACAGTGTGTGCTCGGTGCCCTCTAACATGTCCTGCATACACACAATAATAAATGAATGTATTTTTTAATTGAAAAAATATAAAGTCTCGATTGTAAAGTGGTAATGTAATGTACTTTGGGGATACACTGGGACTCCAGATGAAAGACTCCATGGTTTGAACATATGTCTGGCACACCGTAGGAAGTGTTTCTCTTACTGTAAACCTCACTAAATGGGGGGAGGGTGCTAATTAAGAATTTAATGGAAAGAGCTTAAAAAAGAATAGACACAGAAGAGCATCTGCGAAGTGGAAAGTGCTGTCAGAGTAAAGACATCACACCTGGACATGCCATAGTCAGATGGGTTAAAAAGGAAGCCATACAAAGATTCCTTACCTCCAAAGGAGTGTCGGGAAAACTAACAGTTAATCTCCTGGCAGGACTGAGAAAATGGAGGAGCATGCTTTATACACTCAACAGCAACAACACAGTTGATGGTGATGATGACGGTGACGACAATAACAGCAGAATGTCCATCTATAATTCTGCATCTGGGAGAAGAATCCTTTAAAACAGAAGGAAAATACATTCCAGAAAAGCATAAGTTAATTCCTCATCTGCATAGCTGTACTAAAATATACTTCAGATACTCTGTGGAAAGTGAAGGAAGGAGAGAAGCAACATTTGACCTGGGGTATGTGAGAACCAAGCACTAAGGGGCCTGACCCTGCTTAGCCTCCAATGTCAAACAACAACAACAACAACCACCACCTAGCTGGTCGCTAAGCTAGCATTTAAGAGATGCTTAAAACAAATACATAGAAGACAGGTGCAAAGGTAAACTCTTCTTCACAGTTTGGATCTCATTGTTCAGTAGAACTTTTGATGTATAAGACAATTCAAAATAAAGACGATATTGATGTTATTGAAAAGGAAGAGTTGGTATTTTAAAATCAATAAATGAATACAGAGATGCTGGCTTTCTGGGTAGATAGCAGGACAGGGAAGTGTGTGAGCAGAGTACTCTGAGTCTGGGGGCCATGGAAGAGGAGTCTGGTCTTTGGAGCTGCCCCATCCTTGTCTGCAGCAGCTCCATCCGGCTTTCTTTGCCCATCTTCTCCACGAGACAGCTCAGAGCATCATGTTTCAGAAGCCCCGGTGAGAGGTTTGAAATAGTCGGGTACTTTCTACTAGGTTGCCTAAGAAATGGTAGCAATTCCCCATAAATAAATACTAGACACTAAATGCGCCATGCTTGGCTTTAAACTGTTTCTGAGTCTTTCCCCTTTGCTGTTGCCAAGCAGCTCTTGATGAGTTGGCCTGGTCCCACCTTTCCATCTGTGATCTCCACTCAAGGAAAATAGTATCTGGATTCAAAACAGCCGATTGTTATATTTTTGTTTGTTTAAATTACCAGATTTTATCCTAAGCTTGTGCCAAGCACATAAGGAAAATAGAAGTTCTGAGGTGACAGGCATTGCTCTGCTTTGACAGCCGAAGCAAAAGCAGGCATTGCAACCAGAAAGCCCATTGGCTGACATCCTTAGATCCTTCTTCTGTAGCAGGCATTGCTTATTGACCTGAGCCAGGGTCCTCAAAAGCTGGAACAGCCTTTAGTCCTCAATGCAGACACCTGACAGGAGCATTGTTAGAATGAACCCTGGTGCAAAACTCTGACTAGAGCACCTAGTGCAGATCCCTAAGGGCGGGGTTAAAGCCATGAGCTAATTCTTAATTCTTTTTTTTTTTTTTTTTTTTTGAGACTGGTATTAATTCTTTAAGGTAATGCAAGGTAGGCTTTCTGAAACAAGTAACTGGTTGTCCGTAAATCCCCTCCCCATTTTACAGATGGAAACATTGAGACTTAAAGAATGAACTGCTTATGACTGTATAAGTAAATAACAAAGCTGAAATGAATGAAACTAGCCTCTTCACACCTGAAAACCCTGTTTTCTCCATGTGTCACACAGACCACAGACTTCAGAGAGAAAGACTCATAAGGAGCCAGGGTAAGAGAGATTAGTTACACACACACACACACACACACACACACACACACACAGAGAGAGAGAGAGAGAGAGAGAGAGGAGATAGACAGAGACAGACAGAGAGAAAGAGACAGAGACAGAC